GCAGACAGAGTGACCCTTCTTGTTGGCTGTGTCAATTCTTAACGATTCCATAATTAGGATTAGAGGTAGGGGGGAGCACGGATAGCGGATAGAACTGGAACTGAGGGTAAGAATAGAAATCGCACCAGAACCCACCCAGAACCTGCACTGTGCGGTAGGTTTCGGTTCAATTTTTTGGAACCGCTACTGTGCGGTTCCGTTCCGATTCTTGCATGTGGAGGAACTGAAACCGGAACCTGTAAAAAGGGTACCTTGTTTGGAACCTGTAGGGGGTACCCGGTTTGGAACCTGTTTGGAACCTGTTTGGAACCTGTTTTGGAACCTGTTTTGAACCTATTTGGAACTTGCTTTGGAACCTGTTTGGAACCTGTTTTGGAACTTGTTTTTAGAACCTGTTTAGAACTATTTTGGAACCTGGACTATAATGAAATATTTGTGAAATGTAAATAATGGGGAGTTTCTATTATTTTACATAAAAAAAAATTTAAAATAGAAAAGTTAAATTTTTAGAATAACCTAATTAAATAAAACACGAATACAATTATACTTATTACATATAAATCACCATATAAAAGCTTTAATATTTAATACATTATATTAAAGTTTTGATCAATTAAGTGAATAATTGGAATTATGATCACTTAAAAGTGTTTTACATTTTTAATGTTTATTAAAGAATTATTTTTTAATAAATAGTATATTTGATTGAGTAATAATATATTTAGTTATTTACTTCAATTATCAAGTTCTAAGTAATTCTATATAATTATTAATTAATTTTATATATGATAAATTGATAAACATTAATATTTAATTACTAGTAAATATCATACTTAATCAATTAAATTTACATTATAGTTAAATGATTACTAATTAATTATAATTTTATAACATTACTTAATTGATTTGTAGTATAATTTATAGCATTACTTAATTGAACTACTAATTATTTGACTTATAAGTTTTAACATAATTAATATTTAATTAATTGACTTATAATTAGAAATTTAATTAATTATATTCTTAATCAATTATAACATTTTATTATAAACATTAGTACAAACTTAATTAAATGATTAAAATTTAATTAATTATAATATTACATTAAAATTTATAGTATGATTACTAATATTTAATTCACTTAACATTACATTATGTAGATTATATATTATAACTTACAAATAATAATAATTACTTAATTGATTATGTCATTATATTATAAATATTAGTAATTCTATTTACTACATAAACATTAGCATAATACTTAATTATTATAAGAAATTTAATTAATCATAACATTACCTTATAAACATTTCATTAAAACATTAATTAAGTATTACATTATAGTTAAATAATTACTCATTAATTATAATATTATATTATACATTATATATTCTATTACTTAATTATAGCATTATATAGTTAAATGATTACATAATTACATATGTTATGAATTTATAACATTACATTATAAACATTAGTAATTTACTAATTTACTATATTATTACATTACTTAATTAAACGATTAAAATTTAATTAATTATAACATTACTTTATATATTTATAATATGATTACTTAATCAATTATAACATTCCATATAACATTAGTATATTATCAATGATTTGAAATTTAATTATTATAATATTAAATTATAGATTTATGTATGATTACTTAATTCATTATAACATTACATTATACTATTATAGTATGTCATATAATTAATATAACATTACATAATTAAATCATCCTTAATTGATTATGAGTTATGATTTATGTTTAAACATTAGTAATTACTAATTTATCTTCATAAACATTAGCACAATACTTAACTAAATGATAAGAAATTAATTAATTATAACAACCTTATAAACATTTCAATAAACTTAATTAAGCATTACATTATAGTTAAATATACTCAATTAAATTATATATATTATATTACTTATATTATGATCACTTACTTAATTATAGTATTATATTTAAATGATTACAATATTACTTGATTAGTTATGATTATAACATTACATTATAACATTAATAATTTACTATACTATTATTACTTAATTAAACGATTAAAAATTTAATTAATTATAACATTACTTATATATTTGTAATATGGTTATTTAATCAATTATATTCCATTATAACATATAATTAATTAAATGATTTGAAATTTAATTAATTATAATTTAAATTATAGTTTATAGTAGATTAATTAATTCATTATAACATTACTATACTATTATAGTATAATCATATAATTAATATAACATTACATAATTAATGATTACTTAATTGATTATGAGTTATGATATTATGTTTTAAACATTAGTAATTACTAATTTACTTCATAAACATTAGCACAATACTTAATTAATGATAAGAAATTTATTAATTATAACATACCTTATACATTCATTATAAACATTATTAAGCATTACATATATTTAAATAATTACTCAATTAAATTATAATATTATTATATTACATTATATATGATCACTTACTTAATTATAGCATATATAGTTAAATGATTACATAATTACTTGATTAGTTATGAATTTATAACATTACATTATAAACATTAATAATTTACTATATCTAACATTACTTAATTAACGATTAAAAATTTAATTAATTATAACATTACTTTATATATTTGTAATATGTTTACTTATCATTAAATTTCCATTATAAACATTAGTATATTAATTAAATGATTTGAATTTATTAATTATAATATTAAATTATAGATTTATATTATGATTAATTATTCATTATAACATTACATTATACTATTATAGTATAATCATTAATTAATATAACATTACATAATTAAATGATTACTTAATTGATTATGAGTTATGATATTATGTTTTAAACATTAGTAATTACTAATTTACTTCATAAACATTAGCACAATACTTATTAAATGATAAGAAATTTAATTAATTATAACATTACCTTATAACATTTCATTATAAACATAATTAAGCATTACATTATAGTTAAATAATTACTCAATTAAATTATAATATATTATATTACTTATATTATGATCATTACTTAATTATAGCATTATATAGTTAAATGATTACATAATTACTTGATTATTGTTTTTTTTTTGGTGTTGTTGGTGTGTTTTTGGGGGGGGGGGGGGGGGGGGGGGGGGGGTGGGGGGGGGTGGGGTGGTTGGGTTTGGTTTTGGGTTGGTTTTTTTTTGTTTTTTTGAATTAGAATTTATAACATTACATCTAAACATTAATAATTTTACTATACGATTACACTTACTTAATAAAACGGGTTTAAAAATTTAATAATTATACATTACTTTAATATTGGTAATATGGTTACTTAATCAATGTATAATATGTCCATAAAATCTGTCTAATTAATTAAATGATTTGAAATTTAATTAATTATAATATAATTTATAGATTTATAGTAGATTAATTATTCATTTAACATTACATTATATATTAGATTTAATCATATAATTAATATAACATTACATAATTAAATGATTACTTAATTGATTATGACATTATATTATAAACATTAGTAATTTACTAATTTACACAATACTTAATCAAATTATTATAACATTATATTATAAATTTATGGTATGATTATTTAATTAATTATAACATTCTATTATAAACAATATTACAATACTTAATTAAATGATTAACAATTCAAGTGTTGCTTAGAGATTACAGGTTATGAGTTACATTGGACACAAATGAATGAATAATGAAAATTTGTTAGGGGTGCATTTGTAAACTTATAAGGTGTTTTTGTTATTTTTTTAAACTAATAGGGGGGTAATTATTTTTTACAGGGTACCCTGGAAAGGAACCGGAACCTGCATTTTAGGTTCCGGTTCCTTGAATTGAAGAACCTGCACTATACGGTTCCGGTTCTGGTTCCTTTTTTTGGGAACCTGCACTGTGCGGTTCCGGTTCCGGTTCCCTCGGAAAATGCAGGGTACCCGAAACCGCTCACCCCTAATTAGAGGTACTTATATCTGTAATCTTGACATACGGCATTCATTCATGGCAAGGAAACATTGCTTCATGGTCCAATACTGTAGGCGCCCAAACGCTTTTAATATTCATATGAAAAATAATAGAGAGTGCGTTTGGCTTATTGTTTTTATCCATATTTCCAATCCTATTTTTCAAATGTTGTTTAGCACGTTATTTCCAGAATATTGGTCTATTTTTTTAATTACGTTGAGACCCTATAAGTTTATTAATTTCATAAATACCCCTCAGAAAAAAGTTTAAAAACTAACAAAAACACCCCCATCCACCAATACCTGCCAGATTCTGGCAACCACCATCGGTGGTAGCCGGAATCTATCACAATAGTAACACAGCCATCGAAAATAGCTGGTAATGGCCAGATCTGGCCGGCCAAAGATGGCCGTCGTTTTAGCCTGTTCTGGCCGTCGCAGCCAAAAAAGTTCGTAGATCTGGTCTTTTTCGACCAGATCCGTGGTGGATCTGGCTGGAAAAGGCCATAACGACACGTTATGGCACAGATCCGACCGGTCTGTGTCGTAACAAAATTTTCTGGCCAGATTCTGGCGGTAGTGGTCGGAATCTGACACTATAGGTGGTAGGGGTATTTTTGTCATTTTATATAGTTGAGTCTTTAATTAAATTAGTAAACCTAAGGGCTTTTTCATAAATCTTTAAAGTTTATCTCGTAATACTCTCATATCCAACAACCCAATACTATCCCCAAAATCTTATCTAAAATAATAAATCAAACACACCCATGGTTATCAAAATAAGTACACTGAATTCATACATCAAATAACGTAATATAATCCTGATCATCGATTAATTATGAATTAATATTAATCAATTATCAAAATTACGTCACATCACATCATTATATGCATAAATTCATTACATCATTATATTCAGATAACCATGACATGACCAAGTAACCTGAACCTCTCAAAAGTCAAAAACGAACATTTCTAAGCATATCTAAATTATCACTGTACAACTAGTTTTAGATCAAGGCTCAGCTAAAATGTCAGCTCTCAACAGTAGACTTTCCCTTTCAGTTGAGCTATGATGGTTGTTGTATGATCTTCATGAACAAGATCTTCTGGCTCTCCAATGTCTCCACAAACTCTTTGGATTTTTACAATTCCACTTCTTTTCAATTTAACATTATCTCTTGAATTCATTTTCAACACTAACTTCAATTCCACCAATCTCCATACATATGGCAATGCTACAGTTCAAGATTCAATTCTTTCTCTCACCAATAGAACCGCTTTCTCTATAGGACGTGCTTTGTACCATTCGAAGATCCCAACAAAACAATCCAACTTTTCTACACCACTTCCCTTCTTTACTTCCTTCATTTTCTCCATTGCCCCTCACAGGCATCAGTTGCCTGGCCATGGCTTTGTCTTCGTGTTCCTTCCCTTTACTGGTATAGAAGGTGCCAGCTCGGCTCAGCATCTGGGTCTCTTTAACTTGACCAATGATGGACATCCGGACAACCATGTTTTTGGTATTGAGTTTGATGTGTTTGAGAACCAAGAATTTAAAGATATCAATGATAACCATGTTGGTCTTGATGTAAATTCACTCACATCTTTTGCTTCAAATGATGCGGGGATTTGGGAGGGGGAAGATGATAAGAAGTTTAAAGAATTGAAGCTTAATAATGGTGAGAATTATCAAGTTTGGATTGATTACAATAATTCAAGGGTTACTGTTTCCATGGCTAAGGCAGGGAGTAAAAGGCCAAATAGGCCTTTGATAAATGAGTTCCTTAATCTTTCAGAGTTTTTTTTCAACGAAATGTACGTGGGTTTCACAGCAGCAACTGGACAGCTGGTTGAGAGTCATAAGATTTTGGCTTGGAGCTTTAGTAATTCAAATTCTTCTATTGGTGACGCTTTGGTGACAACAAATTTACCATCGTTTGTGCTTCCAAAAGAGTTGGTGTTTCGATCAAAAGGATTTGTTATTGGGGTTAGTGTTGGCTGTGTGTTGGTTATAGGATGTGGAGTTGTGATATATGTAATTTTGGAGCGGGGGAGAAATAAGAAAAAGGAGAATAAGGAAGAAGAAATTGAAGATTGGGAATTAGAGTATTGGCCACATAGAATTGGTTATCAAGAGATTTATGCAGCAACAAAAGGTTTTTCCCAAGAAAATGTAATTGGGTCTGGAGGGAATGGAAAGGTCTATAAAGGGGAATATCAAGGAGTGGAAGTTGCTTTGAAGAAAATCTCTCTTGAGAGTGAGAATGGGATGAGAGAATTTTTGGCTGAGGTTTCAAGTTTAGGCAGACTGAAGCACAAAAATTTGGTCGGATTGAAAGGCTGGTGTAAGAAAGAGAAAGAAAACTTGATTTTGGTATATTATTATATGGAGAACGGAAGTTTGGACAAAAGGATTTTTGATTGTGGTGAGAGCTTGACATTAAGTTGGGAAGAGAGGATCAAGGTTTTGAAAGATGTGGCTTCTGGAATCTTTTATTTACATGAAGGATGGGAATCTCAGGTCTTGCATAGGGACATTAAGGCAAGCAATGTGTTACTTGATAAATATATGAATGCTAGATTGGGGGATTTTGGTTTAGCCAGAATGCATCATCGTGGACAATTAGCTACCACAACCCAAGTGATTGGAACTGCTGGGTACATGGCACCGGAAGTGGTTAGGACAGGGCGAGCCTCAACTCAAACTGATGTGTTCAGCTTTGGCATCTTGGTTCTAGAGGTGGTTTGTGGACGAAGACCTATTGAAGATGGGAAACCAAACTTACTTGATTGGTTGTGGAGGCTAACGGAGAGAGGTGAATTGCTTTATGCCCTTGATGATCGGTTAAAAGCTCAGGATGGTTATAGCAATGAGGAAGTAGAAAGAGTGCTTAATTTGGGATTGTTGTGTTCACATCCGGACACAAACATGAGGCCAGCAATGAGGCAAGTTGTGAAGATGTTTGAGGGGCCGGTTGAAGGCACTCAGCCTGAAGAGGAGAGAATAGATGCAACTGCAATGAGGGTGCAGTGGAACTCTGGTAGCACCACAGGACACCCAACATTTAATGAAATTCGCCAGACTTTTTCTTCTTCTGCATCTCTGTCCGGTTCAGATGTCATCCTAGAAGGAAGGTGACCCTGTGTTGATCATATGGGCTAGGAATAACCAATTAGTTACTTGCATTTTGTCCAAGATTTTTGTTCTGCTTTATTTATGTAGCCCATATATACTACAGAATAAAATTTCAGTTTTGATTGGCAAAAACCCTATAAGTTGATGATCACTATTGAAATATGTTTACGTTATGCACAGATTGTTAATTCACTGCTGAGATTTTTTAATAAAGAAAAATTAAGTTCCTCTTTTTTTACATCTTTATATCTAATCCACGTCTAAGATAACACAATCCTAAAGAGTAAAGTATCCATTTTTCAACATTTATATCTATACAGATTAAAAGTTTCCATAAAAGCCTCCAGGCACAATACAAGAAGACAGATAACTGTCGACAGAACATCTGAAAATTTTCTCAATGTTCCTAAGGTTAACAACAAAAGTTAGCTGGCATGCGGGAATTGGTTTAGTTGGTGATTTGTCCTGTTCTTTCTGCAGTTAAGGGTTGCATGCATCAAGGTCTTGGCCTATTTCTTCCTGGACCAAATGTTTCAATTCAACAAATCCAAAAATGGTACAGTATTTTTTTTTTTTTAAAAAAAAAAAAGTCGTCAGATATTGCATATAAGCATTGTAAACTAGGACTCTTATTATAGGTTGTAAAAAAATTTGGATACATTTCATTCTACTTTTGGTACTAGAATGTGAAATTTTGAATTGCAGAAACTTTTTCCTACAAAGACACTAATACCTCTTTACCAGATACAGAAAACATGGGGAGAAATGGGGGTGGGGGTAAAGGTACTGTACATAAAAGCATTCCAAGTTAATTAGCTCTCTGGGCATAGCTGACTATTCTTGTTCTGCCACTAGAGAGGATTGTAGATTTTACTAGACATCTATCAAGTTCTGGTCATTGAGACGAAAGTTGAGTTGTCTGGTGGTTGAATTCCCTGAGCATGTGTTTTTGGAGGTTTTGTCTTCTTCTCAAGTCGTGCTCGTCGAGCAAATTCTTGGATCTTTTGATCGTGCTCTTTAAGCAATTGATCAACATTGTGTGATGGAAGTAATGGTCCAGAAACATAAATCTTGTTTCCCCTGGGTCCACGACCATGCTGGAGAAAATTTTGTATAAGAACACAAAAGTATTAGGCCTATAAATGGTGAAGTTTGAAGCCAAAGTTATACACTTGTGCAATGCATGACCAGGGAAACATGGAAAAAGCAGCCTAATGATATGTGTACTTGAGAACAGTAATACTAAAAATTTAGGACATTTTAAAGCAGAGAAAAATGACGAAGAACTAACCAGACTTGCTTCCTTAACAATGCCGTTTCCAACCCCGCCCTGAGGAGATTCTCCAACCTTTCGAATGCTCTGCCTACAGTCCTGCTTTCCTGTAGACAACTCCCTAAATGATCCTTGAGACCTCCCTACTGGTCTTACTGCTCCTTGCTGTGAACAACCAGAATTTTCTCGAAAATCTTCAGTTGATCCGGTTCTGGTTGCTACGAGACCAGATAGTGTCGATAAGTTGGATCTGGTTGAAACTGTTGGAGGAATATCAGGTCTTTTTCCAACTTTTTCCCAGGCAGCCCCATGACCCAATGGCCCTGAATGCGAAACTTTCTTCCGTTGATGCCCATAGAAATCAGTACTCGGTTCTTGTAAACCTTGAGTTTGTTTATTGGCAGCAAAAGCAGCCTCCTTACGAGACATGAACATCTCATTTCTGCCCTTTGTACTGGAATGAAGTCCTCTCTGTAATAAGAGGCCAAAATACTATCGTCAAGAAAAGAGACGAAAACAATGATGAAAAGAAAACATTGGGATATTTTTTCACCTACTATAGATCTAATGCTACTGACTAGACTAGGTAGATTTGAAGAATTTGGGGAATTGAAGGACGTGGAAAAAATATTGGGCATGGGAGGCAATCAATGCCAAGCCGAAATCAAAACCTCTTTGTAACTACCTGCGTCATTAAGGCTACCTCAGCATTGGAAGTAGCCGCTGGACCAGCCCAAGATTCTTTTGATCTGCTACTTTCGAGGTCAATCTTATGGCCCCTGCCTCCCGCTGCTACTTGCCTGTGAGAATTAATGAACTAAAGTATTATAATTTGACTAGATAATGGGTTTCTTCCAAAGATTAATGCTGCTACACTAAACTGTAAACTCAGAAACTATTTATTAGCTGAAAATTAAACACTGATGATTCTAAACGTGAAAAACAATCAACCATACAACATGTACCTTCTAAGTTCTTCATCCCTCAATTTGGCATCAATCTCTTTACTGGGAGGATATTTGGGCAATCTTGAAGGATCACAAGCAAAGGGTTGTGTTGTAAAGAACTGTTGCAAAAATAAAATTACAATCAGAACATCAAGCCAATGAAGTCTCAACATAGAGGCAATACAAGAAGACTTTGAGGGCGCAGTCCTGGATCAAAATACAATATTCATACATGTGAAAAAGACATTCATTAAAATCTCTTTCAAATACTCTAAAAGACACTGCTACTTATGTCTTTCATACTACACCAGTTTTTCACATTATTCAGAAGTCGTCTGTATCTATTGAATTAACTATTTTACTACAACCCCAAGAAAAATAATCAGCATACCTCATTGTTAAGAGCAAAAGCTGCAGTTCCTCTAAGAGCAGGATCTACGGACAGTAATGTCTCCATAAGCCCCAAAGCAGTTGCAGGAAAGTCTTTAAATGTTTCTGCAACACGCTTTCTATAAGGTTGTACAGGCTTGAACACTGTTGAATAAGGTAATTTTGATTTTCTCCAATAATCTTCCGATGGTGATCCACATAGTTTAAAGATCCTATGCAACTGCTCAACCTGTAAGGTATATATGATTCAATTTACTGGCATCATTTATATATATGTGGAAGAAAAAGAGGTCAAGGACAAGGAAGAGAAGAGAACAGTGTTGCATAGGCGATGTCCTAATGCTTCATGATCCCTATTTCTGTAAAATAAACATGCAAAGCTCACTGCCCAAACATGTGTCCATTTACAAATACACCAACCAAACTTATCAAGTACTCATCAATACTAATCTAGGTGTTTGCTTTTTCAGTTACTTCTGCTTTTCTATTCTGGGCATAAAATCAACATGTTTCAGTGTGATGCATGAAGACGCAAAATGGATTCCTAGGCATGGTACCTCTGTTTTCCCAGGTAGTATAGGCTTCCTGGTGAATAATTCCCCAAGAATGCAACCAGCACTCCATAAGTCTACTGCAACTCCATAATGGGAGGCTCCAAGCAAAAGCTCAGGTGGCCGATACCAAAGAGTCACCACGCGGCTGGTCATTGGACTGCTATCCTTGGGATTGAAAAAAGTTGCTAAGCCAAAATCCGCAATCTTTAAGACACCATTATTGTCAATAAGAAGATTTGAACCCTTTATGTCACGATGCAAAACACCATGGCTGTGACAGTGTTCAAGTCCACTTAGCAGTTGCTTCATGTAGCATTTAACCTAACGAAAAACAAATTAACATGAGAATTTTAGAAACTACTATACAAGGACACAAATACAACAATCCAATTGCAAAATTAAGGAAACTGCGGCTCCCATGCTGAATCTGCAGCATAATTATATTTTTTTTTAAATCAACAGTAGTAAATGAAAATCCCGTTGAAGAACAGCCAAAGTCCGGAGAACTTCCAAAAAAGATTGTAAGAATACCTGAGGCTCTGTGAACTTCATGCCAGGAAGTGATGCGAGTCCCATGAGATCATGTTCCATATACTCAAAAACAAGGTACAAGCTGCAAGCTGTCTGGGATGTGATCAAGCCTTCCAATTTAATTATATTTGGATGATCAAGTTTGCGAAGAATAGCAATTTCCCTAGCCATAAACTTGACACTCTCAGGATCATTTTTATCAAACCGTACTTTTTTCAAAGCAACAATTTTATCATGAATGACATCCCGAGCCCTGTAAACACTACTGTAAGTTCCTTGGCCAATCTGCAAGATCAAAATACCATGATGTCTGGTGAGCCATATGCAATCACAATCGAATCTACTACAGAGGATGTTTCAAAGAATAAATAAGATTTAGTGAATGCATTCATCTAGCAATAGCAATTTTCGCACTTCACAAAACAAAATGAAAGCAAATAGAGCATAAAGTCAAGAAGGAAACAAACCTTATCCAATTTCTCAAACGTATTTGCACGTCGTGGTATCCATCCCTTGATGGCATCACCAGCCGCCGCAGCAAGCCAAGACGGCCACCCTGCCGCCAACTCTTCTGCTTCTGCTGCTTTAGGCAATCTCCCCATGCTAGGATGATTAATTACAGTCACTTGACAATTTTCAATCCTCTTCTTCTCAATTTGATCATCAATCATCTTTTTTCTCTCAATTTGTTCCTGAATCATCTTTTTTCTCTCTATTTGATCATCAATATTTATCGTCTCAATCCCATGATTATCGTAATAGCGGTTGGAACCATTGACTTTCTTGTCAATCAACATAACCTTGACATCATTATTCTCAAGTCTATCTTTTGATCCAACAATCTCCTCCCTTCTGGATGAACTCACATGCTTATTCAATGACCCTTTTTGATGAAGTCTCTCTCTTGGACTCTCGCGGCTGTCTTCAACAGGTGTAGGCTTAGAACACAAACCACCCATGGTTCCAAACAAAGAAGTTAGAAATAAACCCAGAAAAAATCAACACTTTCTCCTTGACAAACAAACTAAACCCAGTCCTAAACTTGCTAAAACTCCACCCTTTTGAATCTCCATAAACAAGAATCAACTCAAAGACCAATCTTCAAAGGACATTTGAGAAACCATATAGCAAAAAATGACTACAAAAACAAGAAAAAAATGATTAAACTATAATGAAAAGTTAAAAATGATTGAGAAAGGAAGACTTAATCAGCAAGAAAGAGAGGAGGAGGGGTTTGGGATTGGGACTGTTGAACGCGTAAACATAATTACACTTGCAATTAACACAGACAAATAGAAATTTATTATAAATTATAGAGACGGCCTTTGCCGGCAAAGCAGAGGTTCTGAGTCAACATAACAAATCCACTTTCTCTATCTGTCATCATCTTCACTTTTTCTATCTAGACGGGAGTTTCAAACATTGAGTATAGTTTGGTTTGGGTTTCAAAAGTGAAGCTGAATTGAGGTCGTTGATTTGCCGTTATGCTAACAACTTCTCAATTACTATTTCATCGAAAATACTGTTGCTCCTTTTGAATGTAAAAAAGGTCAAGATAATTTTATTTTCTAAACTACGTGGTGAACACACCAATGGTTTGTTACAAAACTTTGACCACACTCGATCACATATTCATATCAATAATGCTTGAGTTACCGATTAAGGTACCGATTTGACATACTGATTAAGTTAAAATTTGAGATTTTGAGAATTGGGCAAGTGCATCGGTATGTGAAAATCAGTAATTTACTCGGTAAACGTAGTATTACTGTATTCATATATCCACTTAGTTTTAATTATCAACTCAAAAACCTTTATTTAGTTCATGCAGTTTTTTATTTTAAAAGAGATTATTGATTATATAAATTACATAAAGTTTTTAGTAAATTTCGTAAAGAGATTTTGATTTATTCAAATAGGGAAAGTATATGGACCTGGTCTTCATTGTGGTCCTCCATTCATATTTTTATTTAACCTCAACAAATTACTGATAAATCAAACATGTTTATTATTTGAGGAGTTTGTGAAATTAATTTAATGTGATGTTAAACGTTTACGCTTCAGTATACACATATATTGATATATATAGTTAGATGAACCAACTCCCTTTAAAATTCATAATTCTAGCAGCTCCACCTACACCTAATTAAGCTAAGCAACTGTGCTCCCAATTAAAATATGGATTTAATGTTGCATTAGTTACACCAAAATTCAACTCTAACTATTTATTTATTACTTTGCATAAACTTCATTAATACTTAAAATTATTTTAGATTAACAGATTTCACCACAAATTTGAATATTTATCCGATTTTGACATTTGGATAAAGGCGAATATAAATGCATATACAATTATACGAATTTATTGGATATCTCCAAATCTTGGATTTATTGGGATACCCAAAAAAAGTAACGTTAAAAATATTGTGTATTAAGTTTTTGATAATGCTAATAATGCAAAATTAAAGCTACAGCTAAACGAGCCCTGGAATAATTGTTAAGAGGTTAACGAAGGAAGAAAAGAAATAAATATTAATTATGAGCAAGTGGGCACAAACAAAAGTAGGTTCAGGTTCCATTCAAAGCTATTCCGTATTCAATTAAAATTTGGGGTCACTCCTCAGTTTTATTTGATTTAAGATTTGGCCTATACAAATCATGCATATGTATAATTTCATTTTTGTCCGTTCAAAATGGGATTATAATTCTTTAGTTAAAAAGAAATTTGATTTAGCACATAGTCTAGTCAGTGGAAGTAGATGATTTATGACCAATTCGAAGAAATTTGTTGATGTACATCAAGTTCTTCCCAAGTGAACATCTTTCCAGTGGGGTTATGTGGAGTGTTCATAAGAATTGCACGAGTCTTCTTTGAGATTGCGGACTTGAGCTCATTAATGGGGATAGCAAAATCAGGAGGGCGCAATGTGATGCATTTGATTTTGGCACCAGCCATGGAGAGGGTGGCTTCATAAGAATCATAAAAAGGAGCAAAAAGGATCACCTCATCACCAGGATTGATCAAACCTAATATGGTTGCAGCAATGGCTTCTGTGCACCCAGAGGTAACAGTGACTTCCTTTTCAGGGTCCACCACTAGTCCACTATCTTTCTTAAATCTGGCAGCAATTGCAGCATTAAACTCTGGAATTCCAAATCCACGGGCATATTGGTTCTTCCCATCCCTAATAGCCTGAATTGCTGCTTCTTTAACAAAATCTGGACCATCAAAGTTGGGGAAGCCCTGGCCAAGATTTATGGCTCCATGTTTGATAGCAAGCATACTCATTTGTGTAAAAATTGTAGTTTTGAATTTTTCCAAGCGCTGAGCAACCTGACAAGAGAGAGACCAACTTATTAGAAGAAAGAAACAATAAGAACAAAAGTTCAAGACTTTCTACTAATTTAGTTGACAGAGATGGAACTATGCTGAAGATTTTTCCTTTGTTCAGAATATTTACAACAATCATTAAACTGAAAAAAGCTCACAGTGGTTAACTTGATTAGGGTTCAGCAAAGAAAGCGAGAAACAGATCTTCATATAATAATTGTAGTATTGAAAGCACTGCATTATAGCATATTGCAATGTTTGATAAGGTCAAATGGCTCAAGATGATAGCCGGTAAAAGCTAACATGGCATCGTAACTTGTAAGAAGTATGCCCAAGGTTGCATAAGGCTCACAAGACTCGTAAATCAACGTACACTCAGTTTTGAAGAACTTAACCCAAATCCTCATCTAAAAGCAATATAAGGTAAGTCAAAATAACAGGAAGCAAAACTACGATCTACTAAAATAAAGAATGAGAAAACCCCCAATTTTTGTCCCATTTACATTCATGCAGCAAAAGTATAGCTGATTCAGAGATGAAAATGTAGAAAACATACAAGCATCTAACGTCTTCATATTACTAATAGGCACCACTAAAATACCAAAAGCTGTCAAAATTATATATCAAGTAAAACATAACGCAAAGCCTTAATAATTTCTATGTTGAAACTCAAAAATTTTGTTAAGGGAAAAGAGGAGGCATAAACTCAAAAAAGTCTCCAATATAACAATGTTGCATTGGATTATTCGAAATATAAAGATAATTATCAAATGAAGTTCCTCTTGATTATAACTCACAAACACACATAAAACAACAATTAAAACTCTAAACGAGCAACTCTATGCAGTGCCAATCAATCACAAGCTGGAGGAAATAGCACAGGTTGCTTCCCCTTTAGTTAGAGCTTTGATATTACAAAATATACGAGCAAAAGAACCTCGATTACCAAGAAAACTTACAATCAATTGGCACAATTAAACAAGTTCAAAGAAACAGCCATATAATGACATTCTTCTAGTCCAGTAGTACAAAAATCAGTTACTTAAATTCAAATAATCTTCCGGCCCAAATAGGATGAGCCATGAAGACATAGGCTTATACAAACATATTAACCAAACGCAAAATGAAACAATAAACATGCCATCAACAATGAAATCTAACAAAAATTTAAAAAAAAAAAATAATAGTAAAAATAAAAATTAGCCCAAACCCGCTTCAAAGCAGCTAAAAAAGAACTAAAATCAAGAGATTGACAACTGAGAACACCTGTACTGGCCGATTGCTGTTCTGGGTCGACACATTTTGTTGGGAAACGGCATCTTTCTGAGTGGAAACGCCGGACAAAGTCGCCATGAGAGTTGGGTAGCCGGTGGCTCTTTTAGTTTGAATAGGAGTAGGAATATTTAAATGACAATGCTTTGAAAGCGAAAGCAATGTTGAAGAATAAGAGCTTAAGGTGGGTGGTTTAACTTTAAGCATTTCAGATCATGTCCAGGTACACTGACTGTGCATGACCAAGAAGGGTGGAGTATCGATACTTGTGTTTTCGTGTACAGACTTGGGAAAGGCTTGTTTCATGCTGCTTTATGAGGCTAGATCTGGGCCATACTTTAGATAATGGGCTAAATCTTCAATTAATGGCTGATTAAGGTATTGGGCTTAAAATTTTATTTTTCAAAAAGTAAATTTATGAATAAAAATACTTTTTCTATAAAAGTTTAGGTGCTTTGGGGAACCAGGTTATAGGCTTCTCCATTTTATTTCAACATTCAATACTTTCAAGGAGAGAGTGTCAGGAATACTAGATATAAAATCCTTTTACCATTTCAATTATGTGTCGGCCCAACAGAGAGAGAGAGAGGTAGTGGCCTTCAATTCATTGATCAACTTAACTACACCTACAATCAACTATACTGTGAGTCTGAGTATTTTTTTTTTTTTTATCATCAGAGTATTCGGGTCAGTTTATGCGTATCTCAACTAATTTTTCGGAGTCTTGAAACTGTCAGTCGAATAAGAACCCTAGTAGTCATCTCTATTAGTGTCTGGAGGGATTTCAAATCAAGAGCTCATGAAACTTCATTTTACTTTTCTACCATTAGGCCTTCCAATTGTGGTTGTGAGTAGTTGTTATTATATACACATTTTGATATACTTAGTAGAACTTTCAAGATTATAGTTTATATGAAGACACATTCACAATTGGGAAATAAAAAAATATTTGTATATCTATATGACTCACTCACACCAATTTTAACCACCAATTGTATTTACATGTTACTAATGAGGATTAAAATATTACTTTAATAATGACTTGATCTTCGTATTAATTAACATCACCTGAGTCGCTACGTTGCGGCAACATTAATGATCTTTCTTTATTCTTTTGGAGTCTGATTTAAAATATCAAACATCTTTGAGCTGGGGCTTATGGCTGTCCCAAACTGTTGCAAATTGACTGTTAGTTGCATCATCGAACAGCCAATTAAAAATCAACAGGAACATTGTTAAGGATTTAGAAATCATATGATAAATAATTAAAGCAAAAGTTTATGACGAGGCATTAGAGATAATGAAGCATTACGTGTGATTGTGGGTGATTGATAAAGAAAGTAGGGTGTCATTTTTTAGGATGAATTACAGAAAATTACTTTTTGGGTGACATAATCTAAATTTAAAGAAAGCGAAATCTTCTTCAAAGTTGACAAACAAAACCAATATTGAACTTGTATTGAAAGGCACCATTTATTGTTATGTTAATCTCCTAATTAAGCTGAGACTTTACATTCAAAGAAAGGGATTTGCTAACCACTCCCTCTCTCTGTCTCGCATGTAACAAACAGTGAATTGTTCAGACATTTCCTTCACAAGTGCTTTGTTTATAGATCAGTAGTAGGAGGCAATTAAAAATATGTTATTATCAAATAATTATTAAAAATGCTCATTAATCCAACCATTTATTTGAAAGGTTTCATCATCAAATACAATATCCATTTTATCTTGTACTAAAAACTCCATCTATTGCATTAACATGTAAACTTGAGTACCCATTNCATCAAATACAATATCCATTTTATCTTGTACTAAAAACTCCATCTATTGCATTAACATGTAAACTTGAGTACCCATTTATTTGAAGAACAATAAAAATAAGTTGACAAACCTATCTTATTAACTTTCTCTTACACATGTAACAACTCGCAATTGATCAATAAAATTTATTATTGGACAGATATAACTCATTATAAATTGATCAATTATAAACTATCATATTTTGTTTATACGAGAAAATTAGTGAAAAATGTGACCATAATATTACCTTTTGAAAGAAGTTACTCTTCTTTTATAATCGAGATATTTATTAAATACCGTACACGCCCAAAATGTGGAGACATGCTTCTTTCTTCTTCTTTTAAGTACGGAATTAGCTCAAAGTGTTTGCTTTTTCGGTGCAAAAATAGCAAGTAACAACCACAGAAGAACGTCAGAGTACATAAAATATTATATGTGTACTCTCAAAAAGAAGCGATTTGTGGTTGTGGCCATTCAAATCAAATACTTTGGGGTAGTTAACTTGATTTAACAATAAAGAGTGAATAAGAAATTCAAATCTCTTACAAACAATTGTACTTTTAAAAAATGCACCAATCACAACAGAAACCATTCCGGAACTCAAACTTCAATTGTATATAAGCCGCTCCATAGTAACATAACACCAATCAACTAAAATTTCAGCTCCAAAATTTTGTTGAGAAATTCACAAAACAGTACAACTCGGTGCTACGTATCTTATAATACAAATGGTGGGCTTATTATAAAAACAATAATGACACTAAACAAACAAACTATTTTACGAATCTGAATCTGACGAAGAAGTCCACACACAGGCTGAAAGCAAACGCCTAGATTTCCATCCCAAAACCAGCCTATTATTGGCCAGTTCCTCCACCCGGTAACCATCATTGAACAGACCCAACAATAGTTTTGCCTGGCAATGATTGGCAAAACTTATATTAACCGCCTTAAACCCGACCCCACCCAACCACTCACCCCAAGAACAACACTCCTCCCCTCCACGGTTCCGGTAGATCCGGGCCAATGACCCAGATATTCGGGGCCCCAAAAACACTCTTTCTACTAAGGCCCGGGCTCGGCTCTGCATTGGAAACCCTGCCTCTAGTGAATCATAAACCGCTGAATAATGATGCAATGAGTCCATGAAATGTCCGACGAACCCTCCATCTCCAATGGGTCCCGTTTCTTCTTCCACTAGAGTTACCAATCTCGGGTTTAGGGTCTTGGCTGCGGATAGAAAAGAGGAAATTGAATTCGGTGCCCGGTAACTGAAGTGGGGGAGATGTAACATGCAATTAACAATCAACGCCTCTCCCCTGACCAATTTCAATGCTGATGGTCTAAATGTCTCGTCAGAGTCCAACCTACACTGATGAAAAGAAAAAGGTTGACCGATTGAAGCTGCGAATGCAACCAAACGACGACCCGTTTCTTGAACGGTCCCGATCGACCGGCGCCCACTTCCGCCTCTTGATAAAGCGGTGATCCGAAGATGTGGGGCCGGTGGGCCATCCTTTCTGGACACCAAAGCCTGCATCAGGGAAGCCCATTGGATCCCTTCCATGATATCATAATCCACTATGTGGACTCTCCTATCATTGGCTACGGCTTCAAGAATCGCTTGATTGGCGGTGAAGTGACCGAACTTTACGTAAGGTGACATGTCTTGCAACAGCTGAAACGCGGCAAGCACGTCGTTTTGATGATGCTCGTCGCGATGGTGATGGTGGTACGGCCCGTTGGTTATCAGATGTTTACCATGCGCACCACCGGCGCCTTCTAGCAGACCTTGCAAGGCGTCGGTGAAATACGCCGCCAATCTTTCCATGTTGGTGCCGTCGTTAGGGGACACCAACTCCTTGAGCCGAACCAATATCACTCGAGCCAGTTCACGGCTCTTGTTAACGCCGGTTAGAGCCTCGGCAGCGGCCATCAAGAGATGGACCAACCTCAAGCCCTTGAAATCATCGCCGTTGGTTTCTTCATCCACGGCCATGGTGGTGTCAGTGGACACGGAGTTACTGGTTTCATTGTCAACTCGGGCAGGATTTAACCCAGAATCGTCCATCATGGAATCGAAAAGGTCGTGAAAATCATCCTGGCCGCCTGATAAAGCTTCCCAGTCGACAACTGGGGACCAGTCGTTCCAGTTACAGGCATGGCCGTCGTCAGAAGTGGTGGGGGTAGTAGGGGTCGTGGCGGTGGTAGTGGTGGAGCTGTAGCCGGAGAATTCGAGGTGAAGGAAGTCATCAAAGTCCATAGCCATAGCCATGGCTGAACTGAATATTGAAGTAAAGAGATGAAGTGAATGTGGCTGTGTATTGTGTTGGTTGTTAGTTGGTAATGGAGTATTGGGTATTATAATGAGAGATTGGAGGTATATAAAAAGAAGAGGGAAGGAGCTGGAACAAGAGACAGTGAAGGTGGGAAGTGATTGAGTTATTAAATTTTAATTAAGCGATTATGGACTAAGATGGGGCAGTAGCCCCTATGTTCCTTTGGTTTTATACACACTCTCTGCGTCTTAATCAATGTTCATCAATTTTTTTTATGGTTTTCCCGCGCTTGCCACCAATAGCAATTAAGTACAAATATTAAATAGTCGTGTGTTACTGTTGAGGTAAGATTCCAATTGAACTGAGCGCAGAGTGCTAGTAATCGCATTATTGTTTTGAGAATATTAAAATGGAGTTCACCACTTCAAACTCCATCCTCAGATCATGCTATGAATTTATTCATTTGAATTGATCCAGCATATTAATTATTAATAAAACATCACTAGATGACTTGCTCCTAAAAGAGCAAAACAAGGTCTATAAACTTCTGTTATGCTTGAAAAAGTATGACTGACGCAGAGCCCTGTCAGCGTAAGCGGCCAGAGCTTAGGTAAGTCCTGCAACCATTTAGATACAGCCACGTTGCACGTTGATGCAAGCAGTATGCTCCTGCCAGTGTAGTGGGTGTGCGCCAAACTAGTGAAAGGCTGGAGATGATCCACGTGTCCAATCCCTGCACATGTCGAGTAAATCACTCGAGCAAGTGAACAACGGGACGCAAGGAAGGATTTGCACGGCAATCTGACCCACTCACAGATTTAGTAATCATTACCTTAATTCATCCCACTATAAATAGAGGGTTCCTCTCCCGTTTGTGGGATTAGCTAATTTCTCCCTAGAATACTAGAATAGCATATATACTCTCTCTCTCTCTCTCTCTCTCTCTCTCTCTCTCTCTTGTAATCTCTCGTAAGTCAGCTCGCTGAACGCGACCTGATCTCATATATTAATACAATACCAGTGGACATAGGATTCGCTTACTTAAGCTTCTGAACCACTTTAAACATTGTTCTCCATCTTTTATTCAGTTCAATACCCCCATACATGTGTGTCTTCTAAGTTAGCTCAGCATTTTCCACGTGCGTTTAGATGGTGTCAAAATCATGCATCAACAGTTTGGCGCTAGAAGA